TTAATAGTATATAAATTAAAATTATCTTTTAATTCTTAAAGACCAATTAGGACTTATTAGGACTTTTACCAACCCTAACTCTAGCTTTCTACTAGTTTCTCATCAGTTTCATGATATTGCAATGAACTACTATGATGAGTTGGATCCTCAAATCACATTTCCTAAAAATTAGCTAGAGTTATAACATAGTATTGGCTAAAATTAATCACAAATTTATTATACTATCTGATACATTTTTTTATATCACTTCAACACCTTAAAGGACCACTAAAGAAACATAAATAGAAATCATCTTTAATGTATTAACAGACTATCAAACAGGTCTAAAAGTAAGTAAACAAAAGTGTTTCATAATTTTATTTTATGAAATTATAATTCTATTGACTTTATAATTTTACTTTATGAAATATCAATTCTAATGACTTCATAATTTCACTTTATGAAGTATTAATTCTGATAACTTTATAAAGTTAGATTGTAAAGTTACTATTAGAAGTTACTTTCATAACCTAATGTAAGTCACTAGTAATTCTTTAATTTAATTATATTAAAAAAATTACTAGCGATTTTCTGGATTTAGACATAAAGTATATAACTTTTTAGAATTTATTTTAGAAATCAGTAAAATAAAAATGATTTTATTAATCCTAAATTAAATATTTTATAAAAAAAATACTCTAGCTACTATCAAAAAAAAATATCAAAAATTAGAAAAAACATACTTATATGCTAAACATAATTACTAATATTAATTGATATTCAAAAAGAAAAGTATTTGAAGTTAAAAATAATCTAACCAAAAATTTGCTTATTTTTAAATTATAGTTTTTTATATTTTTGATCTAATCAATATTAATTCTAATTTTATTATAAATATTGAAAAATTTCTTTTACATATAGAAATAATAATAGATATTAAAATCAAAACTCAAAAAGAAATTAGTATTTATATTAGAATAATTAACAAAAAAATAAATATGTTTTAAGTATTTGTGAAATTAAACTGATAAGTAGAAATTTTATTTGTTTTATAAAATCTTTTCTACTTATTTATTATTAATATTTAATAACTAAATCTATACTAGGGAAATTGATATAAAAAGTATTTTGATATGTTAAAATCAGTCAAACAAATAATTAACTTTTTTATTTTAAATAATATACATATTATTATAAGTCTTAAGATTTTATCTGTAATATATATATATTATTAAGCAATCTATATAAAATTTTTATAATTATATATAAAAAACAATACTGATTTATTAATTGAAAAATATTTTATTTAAGTTAAAAAATAAAAAGATTTACTTTATAAGATAAAATATAAACATATCATTAATTTTATTTTTTTTATAAAGCTTTTAAATAATAATATTAATTTTTATTATAATAAATATTTATTTATTTATAAGCAATAATTAATTATCAAAAGTTATAAGAACTAATAATTCTTTATTAAAGAGAACTGTTAAAAGAATTAAAAGAACATTTTCTCTTATTTGATCTGTAAGATAACTAACATCTTATTTATCATAAAAAAAAGTTGCTAATAAGATTCAGTTGATACAACTTTAGCTAAAAATACGTAAAATGATAAAGAAAAAAATCTTTAAATTAGGTATTTAAAATAGTATTAGGGATTATATATCATTATAGAAGAGATAATAAGATTTTGAAGACTTTAATACCTCATGTTTCACAAATTAATCATTAGAAAATTGCTATGTATTATAATATCGACTATTATAATATCATTAAATTTAGAAAATAACTTATTTTAAATGGATGATATCTATAAGAGAGAACTTAATTTTTTGAAACAGGTTTTAAACACAGTTTTATAATCCAAAATAAGTTAAAATCTTTTTATTCTAATAATTAGTTAAAGCATCTTAAAGACATTTGTTTTTTCTGAATTGTCTTTCTTCTGAATTTGATAAATCAAATTATATAGATTTTTTTTGTAAATGAAATAATTAGGATAATTATATTAAAGAAAAGAATATATAGATCCTAAATTTATTTTATTTAAATAACATATTTTTAATATTGATTATTATTTCTAGTATAATCTTATAGAACTGTGATATTATTTACAAATTTTTAGTATATATAAATAATTATGTTAATTATTAAATGAGTTGATTTTTATAATTTTACTTGTTTTAGGACAAATGATATTAAGTTTCTATTAATATAGTATTCTTAAAAATTAAGTATTATATTACTTTATTAGATCTAAAATAGTATATAAAATATGTATATTAAACTTAATATACTTGTAAATAATTTTTTATATACTCCTTTAACTTTTTTACTTATTCTGATTTTATAATCAAATTTCTTTTTTAATACAAATCTATTTATTCAATTTTTAAACTTGTTACAATTTACAATTGCTAAAAATAAATCCCAAAATTAATTATAAAGAATCTGATAGAATATTCTCATTATTATTTGAAGTTCATCTAAATATTATTAAAAAAATCAGAATACAAAATTATACAAAATTCATTAAATAAATAATATAAATAATGTATAATAAAATAAAGCTATCATATAATAAAATGAAATTACATTTGTATTATTAGAAGTATTATTTCAGTTATTATTATAGTTATTAATAATCTTATTATTAGATAGATTACTTAAGCTATTTTTAACTTGATATGAAGTGTTATTAAGGAAAATGAAAAATATTTATCAGTTAATAATATAAATAATACAAAAAACAATAAATATTATGTGATATAATAAGGCAAAATACATATTTTGAATAGTAAGAATAATATTATTTTCTTAATTATTATAAGACATCTTCTTGTAAATATAAAAGAAATTAAATAATAAATTTTACATAAATATAAGAATAATAAAAGATTTGTTTATAATGATCAACAAAGTCACAATCAATATTATTTAATTATAATATAAATCACATGTTTACATTAAATCATAAGATACTTGTCAAAATACTTATATAAACTTAATAATATTCTATTTTATATAAATTTATTTAATCATAATATTTTATAATAATTTAATTATAATTTTTATTCAGTTTCATTTAATCTTAATTTATTAGTAATTCAATATTTATAAAATTAGCTAGAAATGATTTTTTTAATTTATTTAATTATTTTGTTTTGTTTAAAAAAAAAGAATTGGATCTAATAAGGTAAAGGTTTTTTTAAAATAAGTTTAGTATTATTACTAACTTTTATAAATGTTTGCTTAGTTAGTTAATTTAGATTGATTTTATGTTTTTTTAAGTTGATTTTATATTTATTAGCTAATTATAAATTAATAATTTGCAAATTTAAAATGATTTTAAGTTAATTTTAAATTGATTTTAGATTGATTTTGATTAATAGATGATTTTTTTTTTTAAATTAATACTTAATTTTAATACTTCTACTGTATTTAAGAATTTTTTATAATATACAGTCAAAGCTCTTTATAGTGAACTCTAGGTTTTTCCATTATAATGAGATTTTTACTATATCGAGAGAAATTTATTATAAAAAATTAAAATGGTGAATTAAAAATTCATTATAACGTGTTTTTACTATAACGGGATTCACTTAACGAGCTTTGACTGTAATTTATTTATTTTAATAATTAATTTTATATTTTTAAAATACAAATTATTTTAATAAATATCAGAATATTAACATTATCAATTAAGAAACTATAAAGCTGTTTAACTTAAAGTCTAAATTGATAGTTTAAATAAGCTAAAATAATAATTTTTTTAAATTGTATATTTTCTGATCTAATAGTGATAAATCATAATTTCAAATATTTTCCTAACCACTCATCACGTAAAAGTCATTATCATATATCAAATATTTATAAAACAAACTGATTTTATTCTTAAGAAAAAATATAAACTTTTTTTTATTTATAGATATTTAGAATAGGACTTACCGGTGAATAATAAGGAAATGTGTTTTATTCTATTACAATTTAAAACAACTATTAACTAATAAGTATCATGATTAAAACTCAATGATTGAAAACATTGGAAAAATTGCTAACACAATAAAATAATAAGATTACAAGTTTTCAAGTTTTTTTTATTCAACGCCACCTGGATTCGCTAAATTCATGTATTGAACCAAATGATTTGTACATTCCGGTTTAAGTTTCGTTGATATCATCTCGTTGATCTAGTGTCCAAAATAATATTTGTGAATGATGCTTAAAAAATAATGCAATCTTATAAATTATTATTACCTTCCCAGGATATCTCTGGCTCAATGCTTGAAGTGAATGGGCAAGAAAAAGCTTGGGATCGTCGATTTTTTCAGTTGGATCACGTTTTAGTTTTCCCGTAGACGTTAATCTAGCAAAGGCACTTTGAAATTGCCTTTCTTCCTCAAAGTCGTAAGTTAATAATTCTTCTTCTTCATCATAATTTTTTTTAATTTCAGTAGGTGCTTCAAATAACTTGATCAATGCTGTTAAAATATTGGGCCTTTTAATGCAAAAAGAATATGCTTGAATAATCATCATAAAAAAATTAATAATATATTAAATCATGTTAGGTCATTACCATACGGAGATGTAGTCATCCATTAATATTTTTTCACTCTGAGTCAAGAGACGTGTCATAGCAATCGCACAAATCTTTTTTTCCATGTAGTCTTGAATTTTTTGCATTTCAGGAATGATAAATGCATTTAAGACTTCGATGAATAATCTAAGAAATGATAAATATAAATTATAATATCTGTAAAATAACAAATTTTATAGATCAAATAAAAGGTTCATTACTTTCTTTGTATAGAATCAAAAACATTGATGACGTAATCTGGATTAACGCCTTCCTTTTCTATTGCAAGGAAGAAGCACATGAAATACACAAAACTTAGCGTGTATCTATCAGTTTTACTATGGTGCATTCTGGTTAACAAAAGTGTTATGATTGCCGTTAAATAATTATTAAGTGTTTCCCTGAAGTGAGATTATAATTTAGAATTTTTATTAATTTAATAATCTGTTGTTTAATAATAATAATAGAATCATAATTAGAACTTACGTAGGTATATATTGGACAATAGAACACAATAAATCGATTCCATATTTATCGTTATTTTTCGAAGCTATCAGTTTTTGAAAGATACCAAGAATAGGTTCGAGCTGATTATTTGCGACTATGGAGTTCGAATCGCGATAAATATATGCATGAAGTAGTCTAATCAATGCGGGGATATTACCTAAGGATACGTTTTATCTTATATTAGTAAAAAAATTTAAAATCTTTGAATGAAAGAAAAATTCTTACCGGCATTCTCCCAAATAGCAGGAGTCAATAAAGCTGGTAACATTGATCTATATGTTTCTGGGAATACAGGTTCCGTATGATATTCAAGAAGTTGTGAAAAAATCTGGAAGACATATGGAACAAATTCTATAAGAGAAAATAATGAGTTTATCAAATCTAAATAAATATTTTTTTTTTTTAAAAAAAAAAAGCTAAATAGAATTTAGTACAAACCGACTACATCTTGCTGTAGAATCATCTGGAATGGGCCAAATAACATATTTTCGAATGTTGTCAAGGCATCAGGATTGTTTTGGCAATTAAATCTAGAAATATGAAATGCATCAATTATTCACTATATAAATATCAAAAGAATTTCTACAGAAAAAATCCTTAATATTATTATCCACCTCACTAAAGCACCAAAGGATTCAAAAACATAATGATTAAAGCGTGGATTACTCGGATTCCTGCTAATTTCAACTAAGATTTTATTCAAATGACCCATAATTTCTGTAACATATTGTGACATATCATCACGACAAGTAAAAATGACACGCATAACAGCTACAATTCGCAATTAGACATAGAATCATTGATTAGGAAACTTCGTCAATTAAATTTAAATAAATATAAATATGTTAACATACCTTTCATAAGGTAATCATTCTCAGCCAATGTTTCAGGAGTTGTACCAGCCTCAATCAATCTAAACAAATTAATAAGTAATTCTTGCGTATATGGCTTGATATCAGTCTTAGAAAATCTAAAAGAATTATTAAGTTATTAGTAAAAAACAGGTAATGATATCAAAATGGAAAAAGCTTAACACATACAACATAACATTGTCTTTACGCATGAATAAAAGTCGCTCAATTGAAATTGCAGAATATGTATGAACCACATAGTTAGAAGATGACAAATGTTTGACCAACAAGGGAAATACAGAAATCAATTGTTGCCTAGTCATCTATATATTGAAATAACCAATTTAATAAGAATCAATATAATAAGCTTTATGAAAATGGATTCACAATAAATTTCATTTTACCTGATTACGGAAAGTATATACATATTTTATGGCATCAACTTTTAAAACTGGTTGACCACTGACAACCGCTGTTTGTAAGTCTTGTAATACATGTTCCGAGAAAAACCCAACAACGTCAACATCTTCATTAACCGCTGTGATACCATGCTATCAAAAATCAGCTATGAGTCAAAATCTATTTTCTTTATATACGTGTAAATCACTCTAAACAAGCTTTGCAAAAACTAACACAAAGATTACTTCTGCTTAAAAATGATCTTCAATCTTGTTGGGATTCAATGATCACCTACTTTTGTTGTAGATCCGGGGGCAGCTATTGAAGTTAATAAATATATTGCTGCATCTTTATCTTTCCAATTACGTTGATCTTCGATATAACGCTATGATATAATTAAATAAAAGCAACGTTAGAATTTAAAACTATCTATGTAAATGATAATAATTAACCCTACCTGTAGGTATTTATTAATATATGTCCAAATGATGTTCGTTATATCTTTTTGGAAATATGTCATCAAACTGCGGACAAAATCAGACGCAGCTCGTCTTCGAGTATCACCATCTAAAATAAATTGTAGGTCACGTGTTAGATTCACAAGTTATTATACTTTTAAGTTTTAATTACCTGAGCCCTCAAAATCTCTTCTAATAAATTCAATAGGATCATAATCAAATAATTCTTCATCAATAGCTGTTACAAATAAAATTGTTCTTATAAATCCTAGATAAAATCGATTAATAATCATGTGATGATCAGGATAAAACTTACGTCTAAAATACATGTTTGGTAAAATAATCTTTTCGCAAAATTGTGTGAGAACATCACGCTTCGCAAAAAGACCACTATAACGTTCTAATTTGACAACTTTAGATAAAAATGCCATAGCTTTGCTGACAAGCTATTTATAGTTAAATAAGTTATAAAATTATACATATAACTAATATAATAAATATGATATACAAATTCCTATATATTGTACTCACAATGTCATACTTTGATTCCAGACCTGTGGTTGTTAAGAGTGTCCACACAGTTTCCACAAACGTTGGCAACATTGTAAATATTTCTTCGTATTTTGTGGCATATAAAGCGCAAATTTCACATATAATAGCTTTCACTTTTTCCAATGAACCAGCTTCTTCTTCATTCTTTAAAACGCAATTCAAAATGTTAGAATCAATGCAATAAATAATCTTAAGTTGGTAACTTATAATTAATAATGATTACCGTGGAATTCAAAAGAGGATTACTATAGATTAAATATTTATGTAAAAATGACATGCATTCTTCTGCATTGTCCTCGAAAAATGGAGGAAGATCTTGCCAATTAAGATCATAAAATAATTTCAATAAGAGAAGCAAAGTTTGTGAAAGAATTTGAAGTTGTGGCTTATTGTTGACGTTTTGCGTGATCAATATATCAGTAGCCTAAAATTAAATGATAAGTATTTTTCTATGATGATCATCGAAATTATTATAATTTAATAAAAAAATTATACCTGTAAAAGTTGCCAATAAGGTTGAACGAATTGTTCTAGGACAAAATTGATTTCATTATACAAAGGATCTGTTCGAAATTCGGATTTATATCTAAATTATAAAAATGAAATTTTAATACATTTATTTCAGTTAACATGTTGAATTTTCTTATTAAATTACCTTTTGAATATCGAATGAGCAGTTTGTAGAACAGAGTTATTTCTGACAAAGTCTTCTGGGCTAAACTTACTAGTTAGTTGCTGTATAAATCAATAAGTTAATTAATATAATTGCCTAATTTTATAAGACTTTTGCGACTCTCTATAACGTACCGTAATCAAAGTTGGCCATTGTTTGGGGAAATCATTTTCAGCAATTAAAGTCACAGCTTCACTTAGTTGAATTTGTATATTCGATGGTACAGATATCAAAATATCTACTAGACTTTCTTTTATAACTGTTCTTATTTCTGGAGTTAGTTTTATCTCGTCTTCCTACTCGAAATGGAATAACATTATTAAAAGAAAATATAAAAATAAAGATTATGGCATATAGAATATTTAATAATGCCAAAAAACGCGTCGAGTGTAAAAAAAACTTACTTGCGCCCAGTTCCTCCTTATATAATTCTTAAAAAGTAATGACGCTGCAAACCGAACACTTTGATCAGTATTTTCTCTCGTGACTAGTTGCATAACAGCAATCGGAAAGTCTTTTTGTTCAGCTTCTGCCTTGAAAAGCTCCCTTTCAGCTAAATAAATATAAATAGCAAGAACAAAATAGCAAATAATTTTTTTCTATGATTAAAATGTTTTTAGTTGCACCGCAAAATTTTTTTAAAAAAAATATCTTTACCTTGCTGGCTTGTATTAGGATCAAGTGTTTGTTTTAAGAAGGTGGCCAGCGTAACCAGATATTGATCGTTTATAGTCGTTACAGACATTATATCCAGAAGGCTCAGGAGGTAAATTGTTCAAAGTGCAAAGCTGAGAGACGATTTTTTTTGGAGAAAGGTTATTCGCAATTAAAATTATAATTTCCGAAAAATTCGAAGGACTTTCACGTGATTGGCCGATCGATTTCAATTGAATTTATACGGTTTAAAGTACTTTTCGAGATTTAGATAATCTACTTAATAAAATAAGTTAAAATTTTATTTTCAGCTCCGAATCTCTCTATACAAAAGAATCAAAAACCCGGAGGACTTTACTTAGAAGACAAAATATGCCTATCATAGGACCATGTGTAATTATTATATGCCAAAGACGGTCGACTAATTGGAGAAAGTTAACTGAGTTTGTTATTACCAAAGGTCAAGCTAACCATACTTTGCCAGCTTATGTCCATTTAGGCGATACAATATGCTTGAACTGTTATAATGGAATTATAACAAGAAGTTTAGTTGAATTCCGACAACATTTTCAAGTGAGCATGACGCCCATTTTGGAACAATCTCAACCTCTGCCTCAACCTCAAACTCCACCTCAAACTCAACCACTGCTACCCTTACTTTCTATTTTATCTTTTTCCGAAGCAATAAAAATATTAACTGATATTTTATATAATTACGAAAATAGGGAAAAGAAATTGGTGATATATTCTTTTGATGAATTTCGCATAGTTATGAAGGGGAAAGATGCAAAATTAAAGGTTTTTTTTGATGAGTTATATCTTTCATCTAACCCCTCTTCAAAAATGAAAGTTCACAAGCACAGGCGAAAAAGCAGCTCCTATTTATATGCTACTTTCTTTGCGGAATTCGTAATAAATTTGTTAATGACGTAAAAGGAGATTTGACGATATACTTGGATTTCACTGGTATTTCTAATGCTTCCATAGATACTCTTGCTGATCTAGGTGTAATTACAACATCTCGTACAATTGCATGGCATAAGGCTACCATATCTGATGAACATGCTAAAACTGTCAATGCTACACTTGCAGAACATGTAGAGAAAGCAATGATATTGAATATCGATGATTATCATAGTATCCATACAAAACAGATACCAAATACCACCATCACTTCTATTGCAGCACATTTGGCAACAATTTTAATAAACCCGATCACTACGCAATGCCCGATTCCAAACATAAATATACACAATCTTAGATTGATTGATGCTGAGCTGATAAAACTGAATCTAAGAGAAAGATTCATGATGTTTCATGGTTTTTCATATAACCAACATTAATGATTTTGTTTAACTAATGATAATACTAGATTGGAAGAATTAACTGTACATAGTTATGATATTAGATTAAAAGAGAAACGGAATTTTCATTTAATAAAAGATGTTATTCTTATAGATTTACAAGAAAATACCTTTCACTTTTTAAATGCATATATTAAAGCTATTGATGCTGTTGTAATAAACTAAAAAGTTATCTTATAGATCACATGATTTTTAATTTGTTACAAAATCCATCCAATCAGCTAAAATTGGCAGATCCTCAAAATTTGTCCAATCTGCCAAAACTGGCAGATCTGACAGATTGCCATATATGTAATATATGTCAGGAATACGATGAAAGACCAATTATTACATTTCTTTTTTATTTATAATTTTATTATTTTATTTATATTATCAAATTTCTTATAAATAAGGTAGCTTTAGAACTTTGATAACATTAGACTTTTAAGTAGAGAATTACTTTTAGTATTATTGTCAACAAGATAAATATTAAACACATTTGTATGCTAATAAATATATTTGTAATAATTATTCTATTTAATAAAACTCTATTGTTTACCTATAATCACATTTGTCTCTAAAAAATACTCTTAGATTATAAACCTTCAGAAATTCTCCATAAATCTCATATTATAAGTCTTAAAGCTAAATCCTTTGTTAATCTTGCATCAATACTAATTTTCAGTCGTTAATATCATAAGATAACATTGTTATAAAAGTTCTGGTTATGTAAGTATATGGGTTGTGAGCTAGGAAAATGAGGTTCTGGGACATTTTAACCAAAGTTAAAATTTTTACTTTATATTAATGT